CCAACATGGAAAACCATATAAGTCTAATGACACGATCCTCTGCAACACCATCCGATAAAGCAAGCCCATCACTGCTGAATCATCATCAAGTGAAGCAAGTGTAACAGTCTTCGACAAAATCTACAAGTAATCACTAGTCGCAAAGCAACTAACAATCACTCTTTCAACTTGCCTTCACAAGACCCAAACACTAAACTCATGCCATCGAGTCATATACTTGTCCAACATGAACGTAATACCTCATGGACGAGATAAAGGTTCATAGACAAGCACAAACTAAATAACCACTCGAACCCAACTCAACCGCGATAAACTCACCAATGCATTTAACCACTAGCTCTGAGCATGCCTTGAAGAGGCTAGCTATACATGATCAACACTAAGTCGAAACTCAAGTGAAGACCATGAGATGAACTCATGTCAGTACACAACCTCCTCACAGACAAAGCTATAGTATGGGTACTAACATCTCAAACTCAAACAACTAAGTTGAACATCACTATCCTCAGCCAAGGCGCAGGGCCACCAAGACCAAGTCAAGATTAGTAAGAGCTCACTACTCTCATAGAGTCTAATAGAATGCAAGGAGCAACTTGCCACAAGCATAACGCTGTAAAAGAAAGGCACAAGGGTCACCTTTCTAGAAAAGTGCAATGGCCACTTTTCTACATCAACTCCAGACTCTATCCAACTCAATTGCTCTAGCTTCGAAAATCAGCATCCCTTTCGGGTCGCATCATACAAACTACCTACCAAGGTCTAAGCCAACCGAAGTCAACTCCAACCCCTTCACTAGTTTGTACTGGCTTACGAAAACAGAATGGTTTTTGGCAAAGTGATAATAGATTAGCTATTGGAAAAATCTAAGAAAATTTGTGGAAAATTTTCCATCCTAGAGAAAGAATGGCTCTCAGTCCAGGAATGCAAACTTTCAAGACTCAACCAACTTCCTCCTACTAACAACTTCACATAGGTTCACCTCAACATACATTCTCATGACCCATAGTATGCTTAAGCCTTGAACATCTCTTTTTGCCCATACTTCCGACATCCAACACCGACATCCGCAAAATGCAAAGTGAACATCCAAGGCTTGATCACGAAGACCACATCTTCGGATATCTACATTGCACTAACACTCTTCTTCAACCACCTTCAAGATCCAATGTGAAGCTAAAACACTAACAAGAAAAATGACATAGAAAATCAAGGTCTAAGGAAAATTCCTCATCACTCGAACAACAATGCCACTTCCACTAACATAAGTGCTAGTGATGTAAATGCCTCAACTACACACCTTTTCCATCCAACAATCTACTCCAAGTGTTAACGGATAAACCAACAAGCTATAGCAAGTGAATGCTATAACCCTTTCCAACACATTATGGGCAAACCCTCAAGGAAACAAGGTACCAACTCAAACTTAGCATAATGGTCCACCATTGAGAATCTAGTCAAAGCTACTACAATGCTACTACGTGCAAGTAGATTAGCTTCTCCATCAACCACTTTGGGGTTGATCATCGTTAACCAAGCAACTTCGTAAACACATTGTTCATTATCACATGGATATGATATAAGTATCACAATGACTTGATCATCAATCAAGCAACAATATGAGCAATGCCAATGTCATTACTTCAAAGGTTTATGTGAGCATCAAGTGCCAACTCAATTCGACAAAATGCAACATAAATGCCACACTCCACCGATAGAGTTTTATAACACCCAACACCACTAACTTTTTGTTCACAACATGGACAAACTCATGCCACTCTCTTTCTGACCAAACTCAACACTAATCCAATACCAAGCTACTCAAGGAGCAATAGCAAGGTTCCCCGGAAAAGAATTGAGCATTGCAACCCAAGTCTTCCGATAGCAAGTCTAGACAAAATGGTTTAGCGTTTCACCGCTATCCATCCCATGACTCACCATTTGTAAGACCATCATTTCCAACATGCATCAAGATAGGGACTCTTGATTGCATAATGTGAACACGAGCAATGAGTCACACCTCGTTGCAAATCATTTCTCCAAGAGAAGATGATTTACGTGTTTGATCCTTCGTCCCCGATGACTCTCTTTTCGTTCTCAATTTTGACTAAACCTCAAGCTTGCTTTCGCACTACCTTCAGTTCAATCCAAGAAAAGTTTATGAGAGAGCACGGCAATGATTACTTGAACCAATAGACTAATCCCTACAGTCTTTACTGATCCACTTGTAACCATGCCTAGGAAGGATCCACTAGTGCTATGCTAAACAGCTACAGACCAACCTATTTGCCACTCATAGCAAACTTAGGGAAGGTTTACTTTCACCCACGGTACATGGAACAACTCATGGAACCACTGATAGGCTAACATTAATCCTGCCAACTCAAAGTGTAACCTCAAGTTGCTAATGCGCCTCACTCACGAGCCCAAGCTCAAACTCGTGCTAACGGAGCATCTCAAATCCATCCTATGAGCCCAAGAGCAAGCTCACATTGTTAGGTACAAAAGGTAACCAAAACCATACCCAAGGAACAAATGTGAACCCTTTGCACCAAACGTGTACCCACTCGGATCATCGTTTTCATCTCTGCGTATGCAACGAGACTAGTTGCCCAATCTCATTGTATAGTACTCGCTGAGACTCACCCTCTAATACCAAATGTAGCGCACGTGGTTTTGACCCTTTATCCTATGGTGATTTACCATAGGATAACACCACGAAGCGGAACCTAAACCCTCTTTGTGCCACGTGACGGATGCCACGTGTCACATGCCACGTGTCCATGCCACGTGTCCATAGGAACCCGAGGTTCAGGGCCTTGGGCCACTGAACGATAGAACGGTGCCAAACTCCCAAGCATGGAGCCAAGGAGTGTCGGAACCGAACCATGGAGCAACTCCCGAGCATAAAGCCCAAGGAGTGAAGGGACAGGAGCCCGGAGCGACTTGGAATAGTCCTGGAGCAACCAGCATCCCAATGCCAGGACCAGCACGCAAAACGGAGCCAAATGGAGTCTGGCGCTATTTCGGCATACCGGTGGCCTAACGTGAGGATATGGGTACTCCACCAACTAGCATGGAATGGAACTTGGGCTTAGACCCAAGCCGGACGCAGAACAAGGATAGGCACGCAAGCGGGAGCTAGACTATGCCTCAGGTTGGTCAGCCATGCCCAACCTACCCACTATCCCTACTATACATTTAGAACCCCCCATAGCCCCCCCCCCCCTTGAGGAACACACGCTTTGGGCTTTCACCCCAAGCCTCCCTTAGTATCAGGAGTTAGTCTCTGGGACAAGTTCGAAACTTACTAAATATGGAATGTCCCTAGATTGCGAATTTGGACACGGGACAAACACCATTGTGTTCAGGACGATCTCTACATTCCGTAGATATGCCAAATGAGCAAATCTGGACACTTTCCACAAATAGCATTTGGGACCGAAATGAGACTAACACAAAGGGCATGATAGCGAGGGTGTTTGGCAGACACGGTAAGCTATCATGTAGCGATATTGAGGGACCAATCTCAATACGCGAGGGTTCTTGTCAAGCCAGTGCAAAACAGAGCAAAAGAGAACTAACAAGCCGGGCCAAGTATGCTCAGCTAAATAGACACTTAGGAATTCCTTCCTTATGCTCATCCGGCCAAGTACAGATACAAAGTCCAGTTTACTAACACTTGAACAAGAGGGGCTAATAAAGGGAACCAGCAATACCGACCTCCTGCCATCGTGGCAGTAAGGTAAGAGTGTCCGTAAGGACTAGTTGACAGGTAACTTTCGATACCCGAAGTCACATGCGCGACAATGTAGTTGCTTGATGCTATGCAATTGTAGTTAAACAATTAAACTTAGGAGGCTACTACTCTATATAAAAATGAACGAAAAGGAAAAAAAAAGAAAAAATTGAAAAATTTATAAGGAAAGTGAAATCTAGACAATGCAAAAGCTTCATCTAAACCAAAATCCAAAATATAACCATTCATCAGGGACAATTAAAAATGCTTCTCACCTACACTAATGTGAGTGTATAGAATATTGAAATAAGCCTAAAAACCCTAGTTATATACAAAAGTTGATATTAATTTGACAGCTGTCAAAATCCCACTACACTAATATTAGTATATGGCATCATAGCTGTATACTTCAATATCATAATATTAATTGTTTTATTTCCAAGTAATATATATATATATATATATATATATATATATATATATATATATATATAAAATTTAAATCAATCTATCTTATATATTTAAATCTTATTATGGCCCAGGATGAATAATTTGCTACATATTGTATGCAACAACACTTGATAATAGTATTGTTATATATATTTAATATTATTTAGTAATTTAATCTAGTGTATAATTATAATTATTGCATAAGAATAAACTAATATACTAGGAAGTGTTTAAGAAAGTCTAAAAATTATAACTGTTAAATAGTATAATTCAAGAATATCCAAGCATATTCTAAGAGTCTAAACACATCTAAAATGTGATTTTTTTTCTTATAAAAGGTTTGGCTCTTATAAAATTCTAAGTGTTGACAATAAAAATTATTCTATTTCTTTAGGTCGATTCTTGAAAAATATAGAATATTAACATATTGATTGAATGCTATGTTTATTTTTTATCTTTCACAAATGAATATAAATGTTTTTCTCATTAATAATTTTACTCAAGCAAACCTGTAAGTAGAAGTTGCAATGCATAACAAACACAGCAATACTATTTTTCTTTCTTTGGGGAGTTTGCTCATTTTTCTTGATTTTTAGTAATAAAATAAGCCACAGTGATGGCTATTACTGAGTGATTATTAGATATTTACAATATGAGGACATTCTACATTTATTCATTTAGATTAATTTTGTGTGCTACTTTTTTTCTCTTACCGATAATTAAGAACATTACAATTGGGATAAGCAAGCCGTTCCAAAGAGACGGTAGCTGGGAAGCTTAAACTTCCTTTCCTGGAAGACGTTCTGTGGCACAATCACTTCCTCCACAAGCCTGCATGGTCGCAAAGCAAAAGCAATTGAGAATACATGAAAGCTTCCAGGGACATACCTGGAACTTTGATATGAAGAATGGTGATGATTGTCATCTACAATAGTTGCCTTGAGTCGTTTGCTCGTGGCTGCAGCAGAAAAGGAAAAGAAATTAGTAGAGGTAAAAGAAAAAAAACCAAAATACTTGTGTCCAGCTCGGCCTCGTCACGGTCCTCAATTGGCACTGTCGAGGTTGTCCCTTCGAGCACAGTGGCCCCCTTGGGAAGGCGAATGGTGAGAATCTCATCCTGCAGATTAGCTATTAAACCGTCGACGTTGGTGTAAGGAGGAACGGCAAGCTTCTCGGGGCAGTAAACGTCCATCTCCGTGGAAACAAGCACACCCCGTCCATGTTTTTCAACATGCACTTGATCCAGCGACGAGAGACCTGTACAGTAGTACGCAAGAGAAAAAAAAAAACATGAGATAACGTTGTCTGCAGTTGACTTACCCGGCACTTGCACATCGACAGTGTAGAACTGCTGGTTCTCGAAGGACGACCACAATAGCTTGCGCTTGTCATATCCTGCATGCCACAGAGAAAAAGAAATAAAAAAACTCCAGGCAGGATCAAAGCCATACCTTTATCAATGTGCTTGAGGCAGTTTAGCAGCAGCTGGTAAGCATGTTTCTTCTCAAAGTTGTAGAGAGCAACTAGACCGCCATGATCAGGGAACTGCGGGAGCCCCCCGGCATCAGCCACCTCCTGCGCTAACTTGAGGCTCCTGACACACATCGTCAAGGGAGCGTCGGGGAAGAATTCAGTGCATGGAACGACCGGTGTAGCATGTGATATAGAGCGCTGATGGACCAGAGCGGTGAGGTTTGTGGACTGCAGACGAAAGAACCTGGTCCAGGATTCAGCGCCAAACACTCTCGCCTGCTCCTGCAACTCGTGCACTTCAAGACTCCGGCAAAAGTCGTGCACGAGGCGAGTTTCTTCCCGTCCACGCAAGTCGCGAATTGCATTCCCGATCGCGGCTCCCACCCCTGCAAAGCCGGGAAGGGAGAGACGGCCGCCACGATGGCCGGCGGGCAAACCGCCCCATCGACCGCAAACCACCCGGACACGACCGGCGGGCGCAAGTCGCCCTCAGCCCCCGGCCGCCCGGCCTCGGGCTCCACGTAAGCGAGCGGGGGGTTTGGGATTCTCCCAGACGCCGTCCACGAGCTTGATTATGTGTGTATATGGGACGGGATGTCGTCAAACCCGAGTGGTTTTCCAGTGGATGGGGGGATTTCGCTCACAATTTCGGTGTACTTGAGCGTGTAGTCCAGGAGATGCGCCTCGAGGCCGCAGGTGGTAACATCAGAGTTGCCCAGCACCTTAAAGGCTTGGCCGAGGACACGGTTGTCTAAGCGGAGCATCACCACCCATAGAAACTCTCTAAACTCTTTGTAGGCTTCTGGGTCGGTGGTTTGCTCACCTGAAAGAGCTATTAGCTGCGCTTGCTGTGAGGATGCCGCTCCTACTCCTAGTCGCGCCTATCAGCCGCATCAACATTTTGCGTTCCTTGCTGGGTTTTGGGTTTTAGTATAGGCGCGAGCGATGGCATCCAGCTCCAGCACGCAATTCGACTTGCGCCTCGTTGCTATCCCGGGCTAAGAACGAGGTATGGGCATAATCTGGAGGATGAATGGTTCGTGGTTTACTTGCTCTACGAGACGTGTATGTCATGGGTGGGCGATGATGGGGGGATTTTGCTCATAGAGCGATACCAAGATGGTTGAAACCAGAGAACAGCCGAAACGGAGTGTGTCCGCTGCCCACCTCTCCACCTGGCGGTGGAGTCTTTTTACTCTCGCGAGGAGAGTGGGGCCTGCGGTTTCGAGATGATGTATTGGGAACGCTCCAATTTACAGGATGAGCAGGCGGTGGGAAAGACATTTCGAAAGGGCCTGGAGGCTGGAGGCAATCTCTTAAAGAACACCGCCCGCTTTTGGACGACCGAGAGACTGAAACGTTTTGGCGAAGATTGACGTGAAGTTAATCTTTTCCAGAGAAGCAATGCAGGCCCCTGTGGCTTTGGAACATAGAGCCGAGGATTTTATGAATGTGGGTATCCCGATGACTCGTGGTTATATAAAGGTGCCGTGCAAGAGGAAATAGACGCTCACAATTAGAAAAGTGGTGGTAAGACTCTGCCACCTGCGACTTCAATCCCATCAAAGTGATCACTCCAGGCTCGAGTGTCTGGGATTTGGGCTCTCACCTATCCTTCTCACGCAGCCTCCGTGCCCTGAACCCCTTCTTTGGATCCAAGCTAAATAACAAAAGTCTGCATTGCTTTCATCACAGCCTCTGGTTGATACATCCAGAGTTCCTCCTTGTCTTTAAAACTCGCCATTGATCTAGATATTAGTAACTTGGAGAGAATGAGGAAGATAAATGGTTATGTTTCTATCCTCCTCCTTATGCTCGTTGGCTGTGCTTTGAATGTGAATGGAAGCAAGCGTATGATCTCTCCACATTTTTCTCTCATTTTTCATTTTCTGATTGAATTCGCAAATTCTCTTTTGCAGATAGATGGGATGAACTTCTGAGAGCAAATGCCAAACAAGCCAAGAGCACGATTCAGCGTGAGGTCGGAGCTGGTGTTGATGTTATAATTCTTCCAGATGATGGTGCTTACAGTGATGATTATATCTGGGATAGAGTGAGGATTTTCAAAGATAAAAACAATAAAGTGTCCCAAGTTCCAATGAGGGGATAGAAAAATAACTATGGCCAAAGATAAATTTAATCTTAATATTTACAAAAGTGGCCCAGTTTATTTAAAATAAACCTCATAGAAATTTATTCATTTATAATCTGATTCACAATTTCATGTATAAAGGCACAATTCTCCCATTAGTTTCCTAAAAATGTCTCTATGGTTTATTGTTCTTGTATCATTCTCTCTAATTTCAAGCCCATTACTCGTGGCTGGGATCCAGACGCTGAAAGTCTCGTCCGTCTACAATTTTGGTGACTCTTACTCCAACACTGGCAACCTGGACGCTGGATTTCCCGTACTTCAACATCTTCAATCTCCCCAATTCCCATATCCCATCGCAGCACTGCCCCTAGGGCAAGGATTTCTATCGCAACAATCAACACTCAAGGTTTTGCAATGGCCAGCTTATGATCGACTACCTCACCGATTACCTTGGCTTCCCTCTCCTGTCCCCATACTTGCGGAGCATCACCATGGGCTCCAACTTCCACCGCGGCGCAAACGTTGCCTATGGAGGATCCACCGCCGCCTCGGTCTACGAGAACCACAACCCCTTCGATCTCGACGTCCAGGTCTTCGAGTTCTTGCGCCTCCAGCACCTGGCCAACACCACCTCCGGATCCACCAAGCTCCCATCGCCAGCTTCCTTTTCGGACGCCCTCTTCGTGATCCAAGCCGGCTCCGCGGACTTCGCCTACAATCTCTTCGCCCAGAATGTAAGCGTCCAAAACATGACCGCGATGGTTGTGCCCATGGTCGCCGAGACCATCTACAACGAGACCATGATCCTCGCGCAGCTCGGCGGCGCCAAGAAGTTCCTCATCTTCAACCAGCCGGCGGTGGGCTGCCAGCCCTTCTTCCTCACGCAATCCAAGCTCTACGGCCAGACCCAGAGGGACGGGCTCAACTGCGTCAAGAGCTACAACGACATCGCCCAGGCATTCTCCTCGCAGCTCAACAAGACGGTGAGCGCTCTCTGCGGGGGGACGCCGGCTCCATGGTTGTCTACGCCGACCTCTTCCAGGCCAGCATCGATGCGATGAACAGCTTCCAGGCCGAGAATGCGCTGCGGGCGTGCTGTGGATCGCCGCACGGCGATGGCGAGTCTAATTGCCAGACCGGGACGATCAATGGCGTCGCTACCATGTTTACGTGTGGATGCGGCAAAGGGAGGGCTTACACGAACAGCACCGAGTTTGCGAGCTGGGATGGAATTCACTACACAGAGGAATTTAACAAGGTGGTAATGGAGAAATTTACCAAGGAGAACATGTACTTTGACACCAGCGGTAGAATTTTTTGCCGCGTAACTTTTTTTACCAATTAACAAATAAAACTTTTCACATTTTTTTCTTTTTGTGGAATCACCCTTCTCACTAAGCAGCTAGGGTTTAGGTAGGGTTTGGCGATGGATGCTGGTGCCGAGGACGCGGTGTTCTATTCGATCTATCCGGGATTACCAGCCGGCGCGAGCGATGGCGATACCTTGATCCAGCTCCAGCGCCTCCGCGACGATTGCCTAGCTGTAGCGTCGCCGCTTGTCCGTGGATACATCTGGCAGCACGCGCAGTTCGATTTGCAGGTAGCGCTTTCGGCGCCGCCATCGCACAGGGAGCCGGCATTTTCCGGTGACGAGGAGCCGGCGGCTCGTTGCGATCCCGGGCTGCCGCTTGTCTATGGAAGAACGAGGTATGGGCATAATCTGGAGGATGAGTGGTTCGTGGTTTACTTGCTCTACGAGATTTCTCGGAGGATTCCGGGGGTGTATATCAGGGTGTGGGACTCTGATGGAGAGTTTTTGCTCATAGAGGCAGCGTACGCGATACCAAGATGGTTGAAACCAGAGAACAGCCAGAACAGGGTGTTCATCAGCCAGGGGTCACTTCACATTCTTCCACTGCCCACCTCTCCGGCTCACGTTGGCCTTTCTCTAGCAAATCCAACGCTGGCAGAGGCCGTGAGAGTTCTTTCCAGCGGAAGCGTCGACACTAGAGCTTCCGAGGGTGTCCAGGCAGCAATCGGCCGAAAGTTGGAAGGATATCCCGAGCGGTCCCGGAAGAACATGCACAGAGTGAGATGCAAGGTTCCTTTGAGCGTAGCGCAGGTGCTCAAGCACGAGCCACAGCTGGTTGCTCTGGCGGTGGAGGCGTTTTACACTCGCGATCACGATGCAATGGCTGCGGCCTCGAGGATGGAGAAGTTTTTACGTGGAGGGCAGGATGAGATAGTCACCGTGGCGGTTTGCTTGTCCAAGGCTATGTACGCTCAGCTCAAGCAGCAGGTTTTCCAGGCTCCTCGGATTTATCCTGCGGAGGGACAAGATGACATTGGCGTGAAGCTGGCCTGCGGTTTTGAGATGATGTACTGGGAACGCTCCAATTTCCAGGATGAGCAGGCAGTAGGCAAAACATTTCGAAAGGGCCTGGAGGCTAGAGGTTACTTTAAAGATCTTCTTGAAGGATCGAAAGAACACCGCCAGCTTTTGGACGCTGCCTTTGCCAGCTACCGAGAGACGGAAACGTTTTCAAGAATAAGGTAAAGGTTGACGGGAAGTTAATCTTTTTTAAATTTTCTTCGTTTTTCCAGAGAAGCAATGCAAGTCCCTGCGAAACGAATTGACGAAATTTTGGCTTTGGAACATAAAGCCGAGGATTTCATGAATGTGGATATCCCGGAAAGTGACGATGACTCGTGGTTATATAGAGGTGAAGATGAGCTAACAAGTGCCATGCAAGAGAGACAGAAGGAAATGGACGCTCACGATAAGAAAAGTGGTGCTAAAACTCTGGCACCTGTTGTCGAAGGCGAGTTTGATCCCAGCGAATTGACCAAGACAATGAAGTCATTTGTGGACAAAATCTCAAGTTTTGAGGGTGCTGAGGTACCAAAGAGTAAGATATATTTGTGATCTTGTTTTGGGCTTTTGCTAACCATCAACTCTGACAGATGACGAGCCTGTGTCTATGGATTTGGAAAATTTTATGCAAGAGCTCAAAACAGCACTGAAACTGGATAATGAGCGTGCCGGGAACTTGCAGTCGGGCTCCTCAGATTCAGATTCGGGTGAAGGTATTCGTTTTCTCTCCTCTCAATATGCAAGCTCTAAATTGTTTTCCGTTTGAAAGCTCAGACGACGAAGATGGAGACCTTTCGAAAGGTGACGATGACTTTATGGAGGAGTACTCCGACGCTATCCAACACGAGCTTAAAAACTCGAGTGTCTCCAAAACATTTGCTCAACCTGACGTGTCTCGCGCTTCTGGGTCAGCATCTACTTCTGCTACCGCTACCGGAGATGACAACTTGCCCGTGGACGTAGACCTCAACCTGCTCAAGAACCTGCTCGACTCGTACTCATCGCAGCAAGGCCTGCCCGGACCAGCGTCTAACGTCCTGGGAATGATGGGAATGCAGCTCCCAGACGACAAGGAGGAGCATAAACGTAAGACTCGGAGGAAGTGACGTGACGGAGTGCGTTGATTTGGACGAGACAGAGACGGAGACAAAGCTTCCCTCGTCGAAACCAAACAGTGGGACTGTGTTACAACTTAAGACCCACGCATTCGGAGGAGAATGCTGCTGGACCAAGAATTATTTATCTCAGTTACCAGGTATTCACATTTATTTCTTTTCTTGCCTCACATTTCTTCTCCCAGATAATACTCCACTTGGATAGTGCATAAGACATGTTTAATCATCGTTTCATGTTTTAAATTTGCGGTTTCAGGAAATGTCGGGTATTTGAGAAGCTGGATCATGTGATTCCACGGTTCCAAGCAGCAGAGCAACAAACCGGGGGACATGGAGAAGCGGCCAAAGAGTGCCGGAGCAGCCTCCCCGTCGCTCAGCTGCCGGCTCTCGACGACGGCCTAGCCTCAATAGCATCACTCCTCCTGGGCGTGAGTGCCAGGAACAGTAACGAGCGTCCTCTCGGGCATCGCGGGCCTCATCGCCGGCGCGTGCAGCATGGCGGTGGGAGAGTTCCTGTCGGTGTCCTCGCAGCGCGACCACGAGCCGAGATAGAGAGGAGGGGGCGGCAGCACACCGCCGGGGGTGCGGGAGAATTGACATGGAGGCGCTGGCGCGACCGTGGCAGTGTCGGCGACGGTGTTTACCACTGGCGGTGGCGTGCCCCTGCTAGCCGCGGGGTTCGTGGAGGCGTACCGCCATGGCGAGGCTGATGGTGTTGAGGCCCAGATAGTCGTGGACGAAGCTAAACACCGCGTTGGCGGCTGCATTTACAGTTGATTGTTAAAGTTAAAGCCGACTCTTTCTTAGAAGAAAATTAATAAATGACGAAATCTTTTTTAAAAAAAGTATATTAAATAATTATGCCTGGATATTATAGGAATATTTTTGTACAAATAATAGAATCCTAGAATATAAATATAAAATTTAAATATTCCATATTTAAACTCTAACTTTCTCCAGAAGACCTAGATTTTAGAAAAATCTGAAATACTCTTGAAACAATCAAGAAATTAAAAGTAAATATATTCTCATTCACATTTTGCTTCCGAAGCAGTGCAAGTATTTTGGGATTGAGGGTTGAGAGATGTTATGGGTTTTGTAAGTGAAATATGATAAAATACCAGCCTTCAGCATATTCATGCCTATACGACATATAATATTCAACGGTAGGAAATAAATGCTTTTACTTGGAGAGTTCAACCATTATAAAAAGAAAAAAGTGCTTAAATCCCCCATGTGAAATATGTCACACAAAAATTTAGACATACCAGCTTAATTCGAGAAACACTTTCATTCCAGTGCTATGTTTGAAACACTTTACTTTGTTATGCATTTGTGCTCTTTAGTTGAAATCTGAAATGTTGGAGAAACAGTTTGAGCACACACTTGCTTAAGTTTGAAACAGCTAAAATTCATGCGCTCACATAGATGCAATGTTTCACTAAGAATCACTTGATTATATCATTGGATGGTTTGGAAAAACATTAACTGATTAAAAATTGAAACTATAAGAAGAATATTCATTATAAGACAATTGTTTTCCAAATAATAATTATAGCTTTAAATCCTGCTGTGCCAAACAATATTAATGAAAAAAAAATTAATATTCATGTGTGAAAGATATCTCCAAAGATAAATATGACACTCAATCAATATGTTATTATCTTATAGTTTTATTGTGCTAAATTAAACGAATCAACCCAAAGAAATAGAATAATTTTTATTGTCCAGTACTTAGAATTTTTTAGGTACTAAACCTATAAAAACAAAATATTTCTGATAATAGTACCGTGAAGGGAGCATCTAGCGGATTCTATGTATGGAGGGGTATGCAGGGCTGCTCGACTGACATGTCAGAGAAGTGCAACCTGACACATCTCGTGCTTTTGGGTTAGCATCTACTTTTGGTACCATGAAAACTTGCATGTGGACGTGGACCTCAACCTGCTTAAGAACCTGCTCGACTTATACTCATTTCAGCAAGAGACCAGCACCTAATGTCCTGGGAATGATTGGAATGCAGCTCCCATATGACAAGGAGGAGCATAAACGTAAGACTCAGAGGAAGTGATGTGAAGAACTTTAACAAGAGAGACATGCAGACAAAGCTTCCCTCACAGAAAACAATGAGTGTGGGACTGTGGACTGTGCAGAGTCTGTTAAAAGTTGAATACTTGTTGACCTTTCTAGAGTTTAAATCATACTCCCTTATTTAAACGTGCTATTGGCATATGGCATCCGGCGTCTTTTATTCCATTTTTAGAATATTATTTCTGAATATGCTTATAATCTAATGGCTTAAATTCAAAAACTTCAAATAGATGGCATGGATGAAGTGCTAAAGGGGTGGCAACGCTTCAATTAATGACGCTCCAAATCAAGTGAAATTTTTTAGGGCGATCGGGCAAATTCATACAGGACAAGCTGCCTTTGGTGGGCGTGTGCATACCCTTTGCGAAAGCCAGGATCGTGGATTGCTCATCGCTATTTGCGACACACGCACCTTGCCTGGGACAGGTCAAAGGTGGACAGTCTGAAGAACACAAGCTCCAGCTCCATGACGACTTCCCCACTGGCAACCACTCCTGTTCGCCACATTTTCTGTGCCATACAGTCTTGTTGAAGGAAGGATATTTATACTCACTCAGTGGTCATGTCATTGTTTGAAATGACTTTGGAAGATCAAGAGACTGCGATGGTCTTTCATAGATTATTGCAAACCAAAAGTGCAATAAAACCTTTGTCGTTGTTTTGTCTCAAAACATTTTTGCTGTGTGCAGGCCGGATCCTCGCCCCTGTATTTCCCATCCGGCCAGATTCCAAAGTCTCTGCAAGCCACAAACGTTCTCCAGGAGCTGGCTGTGAGGTGGAAGAAGCGACGCATCCACAAACTCCATGGTTTCATGTGACTCCATGAACATGTCAAGGATGTGTCCAAGCTTGCTAAGTTGCTGCATGCACTATTGGTGAACAACCGATCAAGGTAGATTGAAAATTCTTTACTTTTTTCTGAAGACAATTTGCAGGGACTGCTGAATCCTGCAGCTATGGCTAGGCTGGCGCTTGGAGAAGCTTCGACGAATCTTGTTTGGGCTAAGGTACTCTCATCTTAATTGTGTTTACACACCTTATGATCTGTTTAACTTTGCAGGTTGAACTTGATTCCGAAATATATGTACAATCCTGCTGTTGCTCTTCGTGACACTGTGATCGAGCTTGAGGTTGCAATAGAAGGTGGAAAGGACAGCTTGTCAATGGCTGCTCAAGCAGGTGGTGAAACTGTCAAGGCACTTGCGAATCTCGTCATTAGTCGTATGTGACTTGTCCAGACATTACACTCATCGTCACCCCTGATTTGAAGGTACTGAAATTCATATCCTTTCATTCAAATCTGATTACTTGCTTCTTCCAGATTGGAGAGGAAGTTGTTCTTTTGTTGGGACTGGCAAAGGTCATCTAGGAGGTTTTGCACTGGCCCAATTTTTTGATCAGGTCAGACAAACTGTGGTTTTCTTTCCTTGCTAGCTTCCACTATGCGGATTAGTGATACTTGCCTGGACGTTGAAATATTTAAAACGTGCCTTCAATGCGACACAGGTGATCATGTCATTCATCGGTTTTCTTTTTTAAACAATCTGGATTTTTCTGCGGACAGGACCTTATTGGCAAGAAACTTATTTCTGCAGGACATGATATCAGAGTTATAGTTTCATTGCTATAGTTTCATTGTCTATGCGAGAAATTATGGCATTGAAGTAGACATTCGGACACTCTAAGCATATCCATGGGAGGAGCTATTGCTACAGAAGTCGGGGATGAGACCACTGAACCATTAGAATCAGAAACAGATCAAGCATCAACTTAAATGCAGTCAAAGACGTGTTCACAACCTTGAGCTTCAGGTAACCTCTATCCCTGCTTCATTGTAAGAGAGCGCCAGTGCTGAGAATTTCTTCTGTAACTTTTCCACCCTATACACCAGGGATGCATGAAGAACTGGGCATTCCAAGTTTTTTACACTATGCAGAAAGGAATCATACTATTCAACCAGAAGCCTTGCATGAGTATTGATTTCCTTGTAAAAGCCAAGAAGTGGAGAAAATTCCTGAAGAGGTTGCCAGGTTCCTCCTGAGTGCCACAGGTCTCAACAGAGGCAGGATCCGAGTTGGCAACGTAAAATCTGGCTGGAAAATTATGGTTATGGTAAATTATAGTAATTTTGGACAAGGTATCAATGCTTTATCGATTACAGATTTTTATTACTGCTGCAACAGATAGAGATAGCGGCATTATGCATCTTGCATTTGAACTGGTGGAGAAAGTTGCCAGAAATAACTTTCAACACATTACTGAAACCAAGAACACAATATTCACAGACTGTGAATGGCATTCTTGCATTCATAAGAAAACAAGTTTAGTGACGATATCAGCCTCAACACTCTCGCTTTTCTGCGTTTTTGCGCATTGGTGAAGGAAAGCTCAGTACTTTCAGATAGTAACAAACATCAAGTTGTTCTGTGCGACTTCATTGGAATCATCAAAAGACAGCAATCAGTGATTTTGAGAAGTAAGTTTTCTATTACTCTCGTTACCACAGGCTGACGATTCATTCAGATGAGATTGTCAGTAAATTGTCATAACAACCAACGAGTTTATATGCCCAAGCAGACGTGTTTGCTTATGGCAAGGTCATTAAGGAATCTCTCGCAGTCTAAATGTTTCTTTCTTCATATCCCCGAGGAACCTTGAGCAGAAGGTGTTCTGGATTATTAGATTCTTCATAGAGTAAGTTCCTGAAGGTTCATTCCTTGCAGCTCTACAGTTACCTTGTTCTTGCAGACTTTCACAGGCAACCGTCCATCCCTAAGTGTGCTGTATTATAGATCCAGATTACAAATGATCAAATCCAGATTTTGATTTGATATCTGATGTTACCAAATTATCATCTATGTGCTGTTATCTTCAGAGATGTAGGCAATAACAGCATCAATGCAGGGAAGAATGCTGTATCCGCCATATGTGTATAAGTTTTGGAAAGCATTGCCATAGTTGCTCAAGAAAGAGAAAGAGATTGAAAAACACTAGAGGAAAAACTCATGCATATGTACCATCATTCCCGCCCAGCAAGTGTCTGGTAAATCTGAGAGAAAAGCTTTCACACTCCCACCGGGACCAAGTATGGAAGTAAAAAAACCAATTTTTTTTTATGATCTAGAGCTACATGCTAACGATGAAATTCACGCCTTGCTGTGTCAAACAAATGACCCAACCTGCGTAGTATCAAACTTGAAGGAAATGAGTACTACTTACATGAACAACCCCTGAAAATCAGTGTTGGCAAGGATGCATTCATGTCCCAGGCAATCTATGAGAAGATCCTCTGGTGTTTCAATCCCACAAACAGCAACAACAACCAAACAACCAACTTGAGTTCCTTCAACTCAATCATGAAGTAGACTGTCTCTCAGTTTCTCCGAGTGACCAAGTCAGCTTGCAGGGAGACTTGTGATGCTACAAATATTAAACTTGGTGAATCAATCCTTTTAAGAGTGCCTTGGCTGGGAATTGAGTAAGCATGTGCATGGCCTTGCCACCAGTTTTCACCATCTATGCTCAGGTTACTACAAGCAAAAGCTTTATTAGCTTCTTCTCAGAGATGAAAGAAAAACTCGAGCTACCTTCTGCAGTTCCATAAGCTAAGGAGTCCTTTCTGGTACATCCAGAAGCACATTGAAGTTCCTATGGGTAAAAAATTGATAGCATAGACTGATTTTGTTTTTGAGTTGTATTT